TTTTGGGCGTCTGGGGGTATTGAGTTTAGGGTTGCGATACGAATCGTCATCTTCATGCTGGCGTAGGCAATCCGCGCTGCACAAGAAGCACTACTGGCAGCTTTAACAGAGTGGAAATACTCGGAATAACACGGATGTCATGCACGCACACGCACACACACGCACACAAATTCACACATACCCCACCATCATCATCATCATCGTCATCATCGTCATCATCATCGTCATCAGCTTCATCACTTTCATTAGCATGAAAGCAACAAGCAGTCGTCATAGTCGTCGTCATCGCACTCCTCCTGTCGTACGCCGTAGTAGTCCGTCAGCTTCAGCCACCAAACGCTCGAAGGAGGAGAACCCCTGAAAATGCGCTCGCGCCGAGAGAGCCCAATACCCCTTCATTAAGGATTATACCTTTATAGGGACCTTAATATTATGATCTAAGGTATATATTCCTTAAATTAAGGGGTCTTGGGCTCTCTGGGCCGCAGGCCACAAAACCCGGAAACCCACCCTGGCTCGGCGCTCTCCCTCCCACTCTGAGATGTGGCTTTTTTCATGGCCAGAACCTGTGCGAAAACGTGGACGTCTTCTTATGGGATCCTTAAGGGAGCCTAGGGAGAATTGGGGATTATTGGGTTATATACCCCTCTTAGAACCCCCGTCCCTTAAGGATCCCATCATCTTGTCTTCTCTGCAAGGCTGTGAAACATGCTGGAACGGGACACCTGTTTTACAGAGTCTCCAGCCACACAAAACCACAGGACAGACCCTGCGAAGCAAGTACGTTGCCTGCCCCTCGATCTGAAAAAGGCCTAACTCTGACTTCCTATGCACTCCCCTGGAGATGCGGAGGATCTCTCAACCGACAACATGAGTCCCTATGGATGAAGTGCCTCCATACAGACCTCCACCCATCTCCGGGGAGTGTGCTACTGCTATGTTCGGCGATACTTTTCAGGCAGTCGACGATCTGGTTTCTCGTGTACTGGGTGTCGCTTCTCCAAACTGCATCTTGGGCGTCTTCCTGGTGCCTTTGCTGCAAAACTGGCAGATGTGACAGCGGGCGCAGTTGATGCCATCTTTGCAGCCGCGCGCCTTGCGGACATACTTGCAAGCAGCAGCACATCGGCCCTGATAGTGGCCTCGACTGCTCACTGACGGCTCTGGGAAATAATCCGGTGGCGGTGGCACCGTGCTGGGAACGTGCATGAGGAACACGGAGTAGGGCGGAGGCGACGGTGGCGGCATTCTCCGCGATCGTGGATCCGTTGCGACTGTCCAATCCCACGCATGCGATGGCCACCACTCCAGGCTATTGCACTCAACTTCAGCACTATCGTGTTGAAGAGGAAGTTGCAGCTGCACTGTCTTGGGACTGGCACAGTCTTGAGAGTGACGCTCGAAGATGTAGTCCGGGGAGGGTGTACGATCAATACGGGAGCCGACACGGGTCTCTCTCAAATCCTGAGGATCCTTCTGAGGAGCTTTGCCCTCCCAGCGTATCTCCGGGCTACTGGAGCGAGCCCGATGCCCTGGGGAAGAGCTGCAGTCGGAACCACTCATGGCCGAGACCGCAGAGATCGAAGCGACGGAACGAAATCACAGAGCCAGGCTTGAACCGCCGCCATGCCCAGCAACTTTGGGGTTTCGGGGGCTTTTTTTGGGGGGTAACCCTAAACCCTAAAACCCTAAACACTAAGCCCTAAGCCCTAAAACCTAAACCCTAAAACCTTAAACCCTAAACCCTAAACCCCTAAAGCCCGAAACCGTGAGTTCACCAGGCTTCTGGCCTTCCGGGCCGTTTTGGAGTGCAAGCTTCATGGCTCTACCAATAGGCCCCTAAGAAGTTCCTTTTTGGGAATTACCTTATAGGATTCTAAATATCAACCATAAAAAGGAACTACTTAGGGCCTATATGGGCTGAGGGGTTTAAGGTTTAGGGGTTCAGGGCGAGTTTGTGCTTCTAAGGTTGTAGAAGCTGTGCTTTAGGGGTGTCTGTACTGGGTTGTGTAGCAGTTTTGAGGAACTTAGGCTTAAAGGGCTTTACGTGGTCCTAGCCGGGCGGTTGATCCCAGCTTGGAGGACGGCATTAGGATTTGCTTTGTTTTGCCTTTGATTTCCCAGAGGATTAACTGGGCTCTTGTTACGGGATGTAGTTGAAGTTACCATGATAAGGAAACCGTATTTATCTACTATAGATCCCTATCATTCTGGTAACTTACATTCAAACTCTTCCCTAACCCCCCCAGGTACCTACTATATAGGGTCCTAGGGGCTCTAATTAGTACCCTATATAGTAGGTACCTGGGAGGCTAGGGCTTAACAAGAACCCGGTTACGAGGGAAAGGATTCCATGGTGCAGGGCTCGGGAGACTACTTCAGGCTGATGAGGCCGGTTTAGGGTTTAGGGTTTAGGTTTTAGGGTTTGGTTTTCTAGCAGGTGGAGGAGTAGAACACTTGGAGGAATCAAACCACTAGCCCCGAATTCATGAACACAAGTGGTCAAAGACAGTGTCATCCAAGCCCTCCCCAAAAAAACATCTGACCGGATTGCTCAAAACTGTCGTCCAAGGCATCCAAGTAGTAGCCCAGTCCTCGCAGATTAGAAGCGAGTCTATTCCGCACAAACTGCAGCTTGCTCGTCGGGGCACTGCATGGGTGCTTCCTCACATTTGTCAGGATCGTCTCAAGCCCCAAACCGAACCCAGGTGAACCCGCCCTGTCCTTGGCCCTAAACCCTACCTGTAGCCGGAAAAGCCTACCTTTTTAGGGTTAACTTATTATGGTGTCTATATATAGATTCTTAAAAAGGTAGGTCTTTCGGTTACAGGCAAACCCTAAGCCCTAAACCCCAAACCCTAAACCCTAAAACTCTAAAACCCTAAACCCTAAGAACCCGCCCTGTCCTTGGCCGCCTGTTTTGAAGACCCAGCCTCGCTCTACGTAGGAGCGGCAAGAAGGGTTTGCAGGGAGCTTTCCAACAAAAAGCCGAGGGGTTTAGGGTTTTTTTGGGGTT